GAAGACACCGACCGGGCACTTGATCTCCCAGAACATTCATCAGAGAAACGACGAGCATCAGACCGTGATCGACGACGTGTTCTCTGCTGGAGATGGAGAGCGGCGGACAGACCGATTCACGCAAAGTGAGTGTCTGATGTGCTGCTGCCAAAGCCCTTGGCATCAGAATCGTTTCTGCGGACGCAGCCCGTGTGAGGAAGATGCCCCCGGCACCTCCCTTAAATCTTTCCCGTTGACATTGCCGATGTGGCATCCTTGTAATAGGTTCCCTGATGTACCTGCCGAAGCTGCCGTCACTCCTTCCGTGCACCGTGTCCCGGGAGGCAGAAGGAGGCCACCCCCGCAGATACAGAAACAGCAGTGCCACACTCCTCCAGATTGCTTTGGGCGCAGCCCCCCAAATGTGCAGGCAGGAAGAGCGCCTGCAATACCCATGGTCCCGCAACGGGCTGGGGGAACACGTGGGGCTTAACATGCGTAAGCTTCCACCGCGCTGCATTGTCCTCACCCTTCGGGATCCTGCTCCACCGCTGTCCAGCCTGTGATTTTGCGCAGCCTGTGCTGATGATGGCTGGACAATACTAACCGCCCCTCTTACGTTTTGACCTTTCAGGGAGATGCTGGCAGTCCCGTCATTCGTGAGGCCGATGCCAGGAAGGAGCTGCGTGGGACCGTCCGCGGGGCGCTAGCTGTGCCGAGAAGGAGAAACCCGCAGTCTAAACGGGGGACCCACGGGTCGCATCGCACCTGAAGGAGTCCGAGACAGGACCCACCGCCCTCCTGGATGAACGCGGGGACTTTCTTTGCAGCCTGCTGAGCCACTCGTTGAAAGCGAGCAAGTGAACGTCACGGTGTGAAGCCTGCTCTGGAGCTGATTTTTCCTCGGCGGTTATTTTTGCAGCTTCTCATGTCATTTTGCCCGAGGCAGAAATCTTCAGCCCTCACTGAAATAAACCTTGTCCCACTGAAAAACAGGCCCGTATCTCAAATCTGAAGGGGAGCTGCTCTGTCGGGCCATCCGATCTGTGCCACCGCATCTCTAGAAATTGGTATTGAATCATGGTGTGAGGTTTTCTGGTGAGGCCTAAAATTGGCTATGAACTCGCTCACCTTGGAGCCACCCAGAAAAACAAAGGCCCACGTAGGACGTGCGGATGTGGTCTGAGCTGGTGTAACTAGAGCTTCACTGGAACGGCCGAGCTTCGTGAGATTAGAGAGCCGTGCCCTTGGCGTCAGGTTCTGTCATTCTCAGGGATGTCCTGCCTTTGCCCTGTGTCTGAGAGCCACTGCACGAACCGTCACCGAGCCTGCAGAGTTGTATACATTCGCACTGTGAGCTTGGGTGGCCTCTGGCAGACG